CCATGCGGGAGTCTAGTACCTTAACCACCATGTTACCTGTTGGCCTGACCAACCTTGGTTTGAATCTAGGCCCTAGCAACTTGAAAAACATGCAAGGCTCATGTGCATGACTGCCCCAACTCCCAAAGGACAGAGAGGAGGAGATTGTAGCATGATCAGCCCCATGAAGGGTGCTTCCTCCCTTCAGTGTGTACACATCCTCTGGCAATTAAAAAATGCCCTTTTGGGCCAAGAGGTGGTGTAGTGGTTAAGGCACAAGACGCCCTCATGGCAGACAGTGTTCAAGTCTCAGATCTGGCAGCTTGAGACTCATGCTGGGCGCATGCGCGTGTGTGCTCAGAAACCCCAAGGAGAGAATGGAGAAGGGATTACAATGTGGTCATCCCCCCCAGGGGGTGATTTCTCGCTTTCTGTCTCTCTGATGAGCGCAAGCATCCTATAGCAAAAAAATCTCTTGAAAAAGATGAACAGAATAATAAATATGTCCTTTTGGCATCTGTAGAGATGATGACATATAAAATATTTCTCTTTGGAGAAGCCGATCTGGGGAAAACCACACACCGAACGGCCAAAGAAAAGTGAGTCAAGGACGTCCTTTTCTAGGAAGGAGCTTGGGCCTCTGAGATATGGGAGGACACTCTGGGCCTGTTTAGAGCATCTGGAGGGTCGGAGAGTTCGATCGTGTTTGTACCCTCGGTGATGCGTATCTTGCCAAGAATAAGACTGACCTGCTGGCCCCATTCTTTTTTTTAATTAATTTATTTTTAGAGAGATATTTTTGCTATTGGGAGGTGTGCACTTACCAGAGAGACAGAGAGAGAAAGAAAGCGAGAAATCAGCCCTGGGGGGGTGGCCATGCCACAGTCCCGTCTCCTCCATTCTCCTCTCAGGACTTTTGGCACTCACACACCCACCCAGCATGAGGTTTTTTTTTGTTGTTGTTTTTTTTTCTATAGAGTGCATGCGCTCGCCAAAAAGACAGAGACAGAGAGAGAGAAAGTGAGAAATCACCCCCCAGGGGAATGGCCACGCTGGAATCTCTTCTCCTCCATTCTCCTCTCAGGATCTTGGACACGTATGCACACGTGCCTGGTGTGAGTTTAAGCCACCAGGTCCGGGACTCAAGCCGTGGTTGACTGCATGGGAGTCTAGCAACATAGCCATTAGGCTAACTGCTGGTCCCCCAGCATGAGTTTTAACCCACTGAGTCCAGACTTGAACCACAGTCAATTATGCCATCCGCTGGTCCCCACTCTTTATTTTTTAAAAATAGTTTTATTTATTCATTCACGGAGCATGTGTTTGCACACTAAAGAGAGAAAGAGAGACAGAAGCACTGTTCTCAGGGCTCGGTCAGGCTAGTCTCCACCCTTTTATCTTAAGAGAGATTTCCGCTACATGGTGTGTGTGCTTGCTGCAGACACAGAAAGAGAAAGTGAGAAACCAGCCCCTGGGGGGATGGCCACGCCACAATCCCTTCTTCATTCTCCTCTCAGGATTTTGGGCACGCACATACACGTGCCCGGCGTGAGTTTTAAGCCACTGGATCCAGGACTCTAACCATGGTTGACCATGTGGGAGTCCTACACCTTAACTACTATGCCACCTGCTGGCCTCCAGTCTCTTTAAAAAAAATATTTATTATTATTGATTTATTTGATTCATTTGATTTGCTATAGGGCACATGTGCTTGAGAGAGAGAGGAGAGAGAGAGTGTGAAAGAAAGCAAGCAAGCCGCTAGGTCCAGGACTGCAACCACAGTCAGCCATGTGGGAGTCCAACGCCTTACCCAGCGCATCACCTACTGGTCCTATAGTCCCTTTTATTCAGTCCTTTAACCCACCAAGACCCTGGGCATGTGTGCATGTGCCAGTGTGTTTTCAGGTCCACCAAGCCAGGGACTCAAACTGTGGTCGGCATGTGGCTTCTGCAGTCCAGTTGCTACCAGCTGTGCCAGAGTCTAGGTCACCGCATGACTTTGTAATTTCTCTTGAATATGTAGTTGCTTTTAAATAGTCTTCTGGGTCTGACTCCTTACAGGAGAAAAGAACGGCCAGCAGGTGGTGTGGTGTTTAAGGCACTGGACTTCCACATGGCCGACCACAGTTCAAGTCCCAGACCTGGTGGCTTGCTCTCTTGTTTTCTCTCTCTCTCTGTATCTGTTTCCCTTTGGTGAGCTCATGAGCACTATAATGCATTTAAAAATAATAATAGGGACCAGCAGGTAGTGTGGTGGTTAAGGTGTTGGACTCCCATGTGGTTGACCATAGTTTGAGTCTCAGACCCACTGTCATGGGAGTAAGAGGGTGAAAACTTGATCCAATAATGGTGTTCGTGCATGCCCAAAATCCTGAGAGGAGAATGGGGAGAAGGGACTGTGGCCTGGCCATCTCCCCTGAGGGGTGATTTCTTGCTTTCTGTCTCTCTGACTCTGTTTCTCTGGTGAGTACACATGCCCTATAGCAAAACTCTCTCTAAATAAATAAATAAAATAATTCTTTAAAAAGGGGGAGGTGGGAAGAGAAAAGTTAAGGAAAGGTGACAGTGCTAGCCCTTTAAATCCCCGGAAGTCACTTCAGCTAGAGAACTAGGAGCTTGCAACAATGGCTACCGGCCATTTTCTGCACTTGTGGGATCACGTGTAGCAATTAGTGGTGGCAGAGCACAGATTCGCAGCACTCGGAGGCTGGGGTCCTTTGTGCCCATCCCTTTCCTTGCTCCTACAAGCTGTGCACACACTGAGGTGGGAGCACAACACAGCTGCCTCCCACAGAGCTGAGCGCTGGAGGATGAGGAGCTGCTACTACGCCAAGAGCCAAAATCGACCAAAATTAATACAATTTATGGCCCCAGTCTTCCCCTGAAGTTGCAAGCCTTAAATAGATTATAGAATTTCCAAATAGGTATCAGACAAATTCTGCCAGGGTAACTCTTACGTAAATGGGGAGTCAGATTTCTGGTGTTGTCTACTCTGCCTTCCCAGAATCCTCCCCATTTAGTTCATTTTCACTTACTCTATATTATTAAAACTTCTGATGCTACAATTTTATTCTATATACTACTTTGGTTGATTTTTTAAAAAGACATTTATCTATTTATTTATTTGTTGTGATTTTTCAAGTCACTGGGTCCAGGACTCCAACCATAGCCAGCCATATGGGAACTCAGTACCTTACCCACCATGCCACCTGATGGCCCTGGCTGAATTCTTTTCTTTTTAAAGAATTATTTTATTTAACTTAATGAATTTATTTATTTAATTTGACCACAGAGGGAAAGACTGAGAGAGAGGGAAAGTAAGAAAGCATGCCAGCAGATCTGGGACTCAAACCAAGGTCTGCTACCACCCTACCTGCTGACCCCTCTTTTCTTTTCTTTCTTTCTTTTTTTTTTTTATTGTCCTCATTGTCATTACTCTGTAAATAGTTTGTAAATCTATAATTATGGTGGTAGTTTTTCTTCTTGACTCATGTCTTCCTCTGCCATTGTGCAGCTTACAGAAATACTGGAGACTGTCTGGCTTATAAAGATTAGAGGTTTACTTGACTCATGATTCTGGAAGCTGGAAAGTCCAAAGGTATAGGCCGGCATCATACGGTGGGCAGAAACAAGATGGATGACAGACACATGCAGAGTATGGTCTGTATTACATATGGTTCCCAAAACCTCACTTTTTTCCCCTTAATTTTTGCTATAGGGCGTGGGTGACAGAAAGAGAGAGAGGGAGAGAGAATGTAAGAAAGCACCCCCAGTAGGGATGGACATGCCATAGTCCCTTCTCCTCCATTCTCTTCCTGAACATCATACTAAAACTGTATGATGTTGGGGTCACTGAACACAGTGATACAGTAATCTAGTGGGGGGTCAATAAGGCCAATGCCATACTTCTCTTAATGTATCGTAGTTTTCCTCTGAAGAATTCACAGAAAAGGTTGGGTGGTTTCACTTATTAATATTTGCCTTAAGTGTACAAAGAACCCCTGAAAGTGCTCAGTAGTATTTAACCGCGACATCACCACAACCCAGGCACTAACACAGCTAAGGAATATTGGACTTTTATTCTCGCCCGAGAAGCATCTAGTAACAACTCCCGGGTTCAATGCTCCGAGTGGCCCACAAGGGATCTGCTCTACTTTATGGGCTGGGGTTCCTTAGCCAATGGGTCCCCTGGCCACCCTCAGTTGCCTTCGGGGACGCCTAAGCGGCATGCTCTGCGCACAGGCGGTTGACCACACGCTGCTCCCGCCTGCTCCTCAACCGGGCGCCCTCCTGGACTACAGGCTGCAGAGCGCAGCGCGGCCGGGAGGCCGCCCCACAGTGCGCGCTGCGGCCGCTGGGCTCCCCGGCC